TGAGCGCAGCCATATTGACCTGTGATTCACCCGAGCAGTGTGGACGTGCCGTCGCTATAGCAATGGGCCAGTTCAGCTGGTGGTCTGATCTATTGCCTAGCAGATGTAACCCATAATGGTTATTGTTTCCCTCTGGGATGTGTGGGCGGTACTCTCGCTCCCGTGCAGCCCTCGCTCCCATGCAGCTGGAGAATATAGAAGGAAGAGGTTCTGTAATAAAGCAAGCAGGGAACTTGAGAAGAAAGGTGCCTCCCGTCTCTCTGTCCTCATCCTTTTAGGTTTAGGACCTGCTGGCAGGATCCTGACGTCGCGGCTTGCGACAACCCTTGGTGCTCTACCCCTAAGCTACATCCCCACTTGCTGCTTTTTTCTCCCCACAACCTTTTTATTTTCAGTTGATATATAATTGTACATATTTATGAGTAGTGTGACATTTCACTCTGTATACAACATATGATGATCAGATCAGAGTAATTAGCACTCCATCACCCTAGCATTTACCATTTCTTAATGCTGAGAACATTCAATATCCTTTTTACTAGCTTTTTTTTGGTGCCAGGGATCGAACTTGGGACCTTGCACTTGTGAGACAGGTGGCAGCACCATTGAGCTAGATCCCCAGCCCTTTACTAGCTATTTTTAATTGTACAGTTAATTGTTAGCAACTATAATCACCCTGTTTTTTTTGTTTCTTTGTTTGGTTTTTTGAGACAGGGTCTCATTATGTAGTTGAGACGGATCTGGAACTCACTATGTAGCCCAGGCTGGTCTTAAACTCACAGCGATCCTCCTGCCTCAGCCTCCCAAGTGCTGGGATTATAGGGGTGCACCACCACAGCCAGCTCTACCCGCCCCTTTTGAGACAGAGTCTTACCATGCAGTTCAGGTTGGCCTTGAAATTACTATTGTAAGATCTAAGGCCTTACTACCACTCCAAGGAGCTCAATAGCCACTGAGGGCTTTCAAAATGTAAGACCAAGTGCCTTACTACCACTCTGAGGAGCTAGATTCTGCCACTCCGAAGAGTTCGACAGTCACGAGATTCACCTGGGAAGAACACGCTGGACATGTTGGAAAGGGAACAGACCATTACTAGTCTAGCCACGGCAACTCCCAGAGCCAAGCAGCTCAGGGGCTGAGATCCTTTTTATAAGGGCACAGGCAGGGTGGGGGTCTATACTCAAGATGCTTACAGAATGTCAAGGTTTTCAAAACATTTCTTCTGGGCACACAAGGAGTGAAACAATCTTTATCTATTTACCCAGAACTACTAAATGTTCACCTATTAATTTACATCACAGTTGAGACTAGGATTTAAGATTACAAAGTTATGCACTCCCACACTATGAAGCCCAGTTTTCCTTAAACTTGTGTCAATCTTCCTGCCTCAACCTCCTGAGGGGTGCCACTACACCTGCCTATACTTCAGAACATTAGAAATGTCCCTGATGGGACCAGGGATTTAGCTCTGTGGCACTACACCTGCCTTGCAAGCACAAGGTCCTGAGTTTGATCCCCAGTACCACAAAAGAAAAAGAAAGAAAGAAGTATCCCTCTTATCTAACTGCATCCCACTTAATCAGTTACTCTGTCAACACCACTCTGTATGGCTAACAGTCACATTGTGTTTTGGACCCTGTCATTCTCAGTTGTTTAGGAGCACTGGCAGGTCCTCTGGCAGGTGGCCTGAATTGTCTTTAAGGGATTAAAAACAAAAGAGGAGCAGGCCAGGGATTTAGCTCAGTGGTTCTGCCAACTGCCTTGCAAGTACAAGGTCCTGAGTTCAATTCCCATACCAAAAAAAATCAACAAAAAGAGGAGCTGGGAATGAGGTCCAAGCCTGTCATCCCAGCTATTCTGGAGGCTGAGGCAGAAAGATGGCTAGTTTGAGGCCAGCCTGGGCAAAGAAGTGAGACCTGGTTTCAAAATCAAAATAAAAGCTGGGCATAGTAGTACACACCTGTAATCCCAGCATTCAGGCACTCAGCAGGTTGAGGCAGGAGGATCACTGTGAGTTCGAGGCCAGCCTGGCCTACACCATATCTGAAAACACACACACGCAAAATTAAAAAAAGGGTAGAGGATGTAGGTCTGTGGTCGAGCGCTCCTGGGTTCAGTCACCACTACCACACACAACCGCAAGATGAGGCAGGTTTGGTAGAGCACACCTTTAATCTCAGCTACTCCAAAAACAAGTTCAAAGCCAGCCTCAGCAATTTATGGAGACTGTCTCAAAAACTAAAAGTACTGAGGTTGGGTGGAGCTCAGTTCCAGACCTTGGGTTCCACTGTTGGGGGATGGGGAAGGGTCACATACAAATAGATTGTATTGTATTACCCTTTGTTCTGAAAATTCTCTTTTTCTTTACCTAACAATAGATTTTGGCCACCTGTTCTAATGGATCCCTGGGGGTAGGGAGTCTTCCTCATTCTTTGTGAGGGCTTCCTGGAGTTCCAGGGTAATTTAACCAGCACCCTCCTGCTGGGCAGGTCAGTCCTTTCCTTGCCCTTGATGTGTATTAAAGTTCAGTTTGCAATTGGCTGATCCCACGTCCCTCTTTTCCAGGTACCCCACGGCATCCTGCTATGGCCTCAGAACACAGCCCAGCCGGTGATCTCCCATCAAAAAAAAAAATGTGCCCCCCATTCGCTTTCACTGCTGCCCTATTTTGCTTCTTTTCACACCAGAACTCTATTTTACCCAAATAAAAATAGTCTGTCTTTTTAGATTCTAAAAATGGAACGCTTTCAGGGGGTCATACTCAAGTAATGTAGGGAAAGTACAAAGAAGTAAAAAAAATCTTTCAATCCTCGGAAGTCACAGGTGGCCAGTGTCCATTGCGAGTGCACACACACACACACACATGGCCAAGTGCAACTTGCATTCCCCAGCCCTTTTTATTTTTTATTTTGAGATGGGGTCTCACTAAGTTGTTAAATTGCCCAGGCTTGGCTCTAACTTGCCATCTTTCTGCCTTATCCTCCCAAGTACCTCCTGATTTGCCATTCTCTGGCCACCCTCTCTCTCTCTCTCTCTCTCTCTCTCTCTCTCTTTCTCTTTCTCTTTCTGAGAATTGAACAGAGTCTTTGCCTTGAGCTACATCTCAGCTGGAACTTCAGATGTCCCTGCCTCAACTTTCCAGAGGGCTGGGATTACACAGGTGTGTTACTTGGTCTCCTCCCTCCTTGTCCCTTTCCTTCAAATCTGAGCATTCTGACATTCATTGCTGACTGTCATTCCCCAGCTTATGTCTGTCCCTTAGCTCCAATTGCCCATATTCCCTGCATGGACCAAAATCCATCCTGACCTTGCTCAGCTTTCTCATACTCCTAGCCTGCCACGCCCTTATCATTTTCTCCTTCCTCACCCCCTTCATTTGCCCTCTACCCTAATCAAGCAGAGTTTTTGTTTTGTTTTGTTTTGTTTTGTTTTGTTTTTGTTTTTGAGACAGGGTCTCACTAGGTAGTTGAGAATGACCTGGAACTCACTATGTAGCCCAGGCTGGGCTTGAACTCACAGCGATCCTCCTGCCTCAGCCTCCCGAGTGCTGGGATTATAGGCGTGCGCCATCGCACCTGGCTCCGCGTTTTTTGTTTTTTTAAAGCAAAACCTTATTGATACATTTTAGATATACATAATGGTAACACTCATCATAGGGAATCTGTACCTGTACTTGATATATCGGGCTCCTTTTCCCATTCCCCTTCAACTCAACTCCTCTTTCTCTCCTTATTTACAAAAGCTTTGTTTCCATTTTTCCTTCCATTCTCTTGTCCTTTCTTCCTTTTCTGTCTGTGTTTAATCACAGAATTTCTCTTCTTTTTTTCTTTCTTTTTGCTTGTTTGAGATAAGATCTCACTAATGTAGTTCAGGCTGGCCTTGAACTTGTTATGTAGCCCATGCTGGCCTCAAACTACTGATCATCCTCCCTCAACTTCCTAAGTGCTGGAATTACAAGTATGTTCCACCATGCCTAGCTCCAAACTTTTAAAAAAAATGTTGTTTAAAAAAAATTTTTTTTTGAGGCAGAGTCTTCCTTTGTAGTTCAGACTGGCTCTGAACTACTCACTATGTAGCCCAGGCTGGCCTCCAACTCTTGCCAATCCTCCTCTCTCAGCCTCCCAAGTGCTGGAATTACAGGGCTGCACCACAATGCCTGGCTAAAATATTTGTATATAATAAAATTAAAAACAAAGTGAGCTATTAATTCAGACATAAATGAGCAAATAGGCTAAAGAAGACTAGATATGAGCTATAACCCAACAATACAGCAAATGTTTAAATTTAGAAAATTTTATTACAGTAAAAGACACATTGCCATTAATTCTTGTCAAAATAACTTCACTTATACCCCATCATTCTTACCCCACCGTTCTTGTCACTTCATGAAACTGCCCTGGAAGTGCTTTTTTGTGTCTTTAGTTGCTGTGTCCTGAATTGATTCAAAATATATATTGTTTTTATGGTCATTTTGACTAGCGAAAAGCTAACAGTCACACGGTAACCAGATCGGGTGAATATAGTAGATGAAGACACATTGTGACGTTTTTTGTGAGCCTGCCTTTCCCTTGGATGGTGCTGGGCAGCAGCATTACCATTTTTTTTTTTTTTTAACCGGGAATCTAATTTGGGTCCTTGCGCTTTGCGAGGCTAGTGGCAGAACCACTGTGCTAAATCCCCAGCCCCTGCATTACTATTTTGATAACACCTGATAATGACACAAAAGAGGGTTTTTAGAACAACTTCAGAAAGTATCAAGAACGACGGGTGTGTTTGAAGGGGAGTGTTTTGAAAGGGATTCATGGCAAGGTATCTTTTACTGTAAGAAACTTTTAAAAACATGAACATTTACCGTATATTTCGATCATCCCTGGTACACCTGAGTTGGTGCGCCTTACGATCGGCCTCGTCAGGACCTTGCCCCGCCCCCACCACAGGAACTACAGTTCCCAGAAGGCCCCGCTGCCAGGACATGCGCAGCACAGCGCTCGGAAGCTGCGACGCTGAGTTTCACTCCGGCTGCGTCTCCCGCTTGGAGTCGGAGAAGCTGCCGGAGCTCTACTCAAGCCGGACCAGAGCTGCAGCCCGAGCGCGGTATTACCCTCAGCCTGTTCTTTCAGCCTCCTTAGTCTCGGTGAGAGGGGTCAGGCCACCTGTTCGTCGCCAGGGCTAGAGTTCTGAGGCAAGGGGCAGCGAGGGGACACCGAACCTAGCTGGGACCGGAAGGGGGCGAGGAAGGGGAGGGAGGGCTGGGCCGGGCGGGAGGGCAGCCCCAGGGTCCCGGGGGACGGGGAGAACTGGCCCGAGGTCCTGCGCCTGGGAGTCGGCGCGGGGGGCACCAAGGACTGCGAACAGGTCAGGGTGCAGTGGAAGCGGGAGTCTCGGGGAGGGTTCTGATGGAGTCGCCAGGGGAGAGGGACCTCAGAGTTTGAGTCTCACAGGACCTGGGGTGTCAGAATATTGTCACCGCGCTCCCTGGCGGGGTTCCGTTCCGGTCTGCGTCCAGGTGGACTCGCTCGGCGGGGTCTGTACTTTGGAAGAGTTTGCCTCCCAACTCTACTTCTCTACTTTCAATGGGGTCCGCCTTCCCGGAAGCTCCTACTGTCTGAGGTCCTGGGTCACTTGGAGGGGTGCGAAATACTGAAGCGAATTTTTATTCATCTTTCTGAGCCAGCTGCCGACCTCCAGCGCTGGCTTCACTTCCCTAAGTGCCACAAGCGTTGGAAATAGGATGTGCACAGAGGCGTGAACTTTTAAGAAACTCGGAGTATTTCGGAATGCCATCCTCATGCCTCTCAATTTTAGCTCACTTTTTTTTTTTTTTTTGGTACCAGGGATCAAACTCAGGACCTTGCGCTTGCAAGACAGGCAACAGCACCACTGAGCTAAATCCCCAGCCCCTCAATTTTATAAAGTATATTTTCTGGTAGCAGAACCAGGGCTGGCTTGAGTTGTCTAGGTAACTAGGCCTTTTGTTCATTTGCTGCGTGACCTTGGCCAGATTTTTACCCTCTCTGGTGTGTTGATTTACAGGATTCCTACGCTGCGGTCTGGCCTCTGAAATCCTTTTAGGCCTTTCTGGGAAAAGCTACAATTGTTTTATGCACCCCCCTGATTGTTGAGTGGGCTGAGAAAGACTATCATACCTTCTGCTCTGCCCAGGGTGTTGGAAAATAAATCTGGTAATTTCCAGTCCCCAGCCACAGCACACGGATCCAACATCTGTGCACTCGTTTTCACTCACTGCTTGCTGTTTCTCAATTTAAAACCTGATCATCTTCTTGTTGGCAAAGGTGCCTTGGGATTTGTGTTGCTGAGTCAGCAAGCCCTTCAGATTTGTGGGGTTTTTGTTTGCGTTTCATATCAAGATGGGAATTTAAACAAGTTATTCCTCTTAAGGATCTGATGTCTGCATTGGAGGGAATGGTTTGTTGCCAGCTCTCTGGAGAGACAAGGTGAGAACCACAGGGAGTTTACCTTGCTGCCTTCTCAGTGTGGCTTTCAGTAGGGAAGGTAGGCTCTTGGGACGGTGGCATCCGAGGTCTCCAGGATGAAAGCGAGCCCTGGGAGTTGATTGTTGATTGCCAGCTGTGGCAAATAAATTCTAGTGGCTTCTCGCCAACAGCTTCTCCTGCCTAACCAGTTTTAGAGGATGCTTCGCACTTTAAGACATGCTTTATGGGATGGAGGACGCAAGTCATGATTTCTGCATTTGAACTGGAAATTCCCTTTCTTTGGTTGCACAGACATCAACTGGGTGCCAGACAAAATCTCCCATCTTCCGGGAACTTATGGTGGTGGGAAGACAGATGCATCGCAGTCAATGTTGTCAGTGCGATGTGTGTGGAGCTGGGGGAATCACAGGGCAGTCTTCCTCTTTTGGGAGGAGATTGCAGAGCTAGGTAGGGCCAGTGTCATAGTGTAATCCTGGCACTTGGAAGACTGAGGCAGGAGGACCACTCTGAGTTCGAGGCCTAGTACTGCCTCCCCCCCAAAAAAAGAGAGAGAAAGTCAGGAGAAAGCTTGGCGCAGAGGAACATTTGCAAAGTAATGAAGCTATTGGGACAGAGCTGGACCACTGTAAATAGATCTGGCTAGAGCAGCAAGAGTGGGTTTGGGGGAGAGGAGCCTGGAATGGTGGGCAGAGGACAAAGTAGAGGATTTGGGGTGCCACACCAGTGCTGCAGCTTGTCTCCCAGTGCTGTGGCTCAAATGCTGGAAGCTTGGTCCCCAGTGATGGTGGTGAGGTGTGGAACCTTTAAGAGGTTAGGCTCGAAGGCTGGGCGTGGTGGCACATGCCTGTAATCCCAGCACCTGGGAGGCTGAGACAGGAGGATCGCTGTGAGTTCGAGACCAGCCTGGACTACATTGTGAATTCCAGGTTAATCTCAACTACATAGAGAGAGAGAGAGATTAGGCTTGGTGGTATATGGTTAGAATCCTACCTACTCTGGAGGCCTAGACAGCAAGATCGCAAGTTCAAGGCCAGCATAGGCAATTTAGCAAGACTCTGTTTGAAAAATTTTTTAAAGGCTAAGTAAATAGCTGTGTTCCCTGGGTGCAATCCCTATTACAGTATTGAAAAGAGGGAGGGCAAGAGTGAGGGAGAACTGTGGGGCCTAATGGAAGATAATTAGGTCACGGGCCTCTGCTCTGATGAAGGGCTTTAATGCTGGTTGGTAGAGTGGATTAGGTCTCCCAAGAGTGAATTAGTTCTCCAGAGAGCTGGTTGATATAAAGGGGAGGTCAACCCACATGCTTGGCCACTTTGCTGCCATGTGGTGTCACCTCAGGGCTGGGATGCCATGTTCTTTGGACCCTCTAGCCATCAGGATCATAAGCCATATAAGTTTCTTTACTTTATAAATTACCTTGCATCAGGTATTCTGGTACAGCAACCCAAAGTAGATAACAAGGGTCTGGGGAGCAGGAGGATTTTAGCAAAATTACATAAAAGGCATCTTAAAGGAGCTTGATGGCTGGCAAGTGGAATGGATTAGGTTGGATTATTCTCTTTGTGATATCTGTGCCATACCAGCTTCCGGTAGCAGAGCGGGGTGGATGAGTGCTTTTGCCCTCAATTGTTCCTAGTCTAGGTGAGGAGAAAAACAGCTGATCACTGTGGCACATGCCTAGAATCCAGGTGCTCAGCAGGTGGAGGAAGGTGGATAGGAAGTTTGAGGCCATCCCGAGCAGTTTTGCAAGATCCTACCTCAAAATAAAATTTAAAATAAAATGGGGGGTATATTTCGGTAGTGGACTTTATACTCATCTAGCATGTACAAGGTCCTGGGTTCATTTCTCACTACCACCATAAACAAAACAAAAAGAGAAAATGGACATAAAGAGCTTTGAAGGACAGACAGAATGCTGTGGAAGTTAAGAGGAATTTTGGTTCCATCATGGCATAGAGGTGTTATTTAAATTAGGCCTGGGCACAGGCTGGAACTGTAGCTCAGTGGTAGACCATTTACCTAGCCTTGAATTTGAAGCATAGTCTTGCCACCTGTGTCTGAAGGCGACTAGGAGAGATGGGAGTTGGAGCAACCTGGGAGGGAGTGTGCACCAATGCAGGGGTATGGAGGTCCAGATGTTCTGAGGCTCGAGATGCACAGGAGAGAAGGGAGCAGGCCCTGGCAGCTGCGGGGCTGTGGGCAGAAAGGTTGGGG